ACATTTCAAAAGTTTGCTTCAAATTTTCTTCATGATTATATGGAAACATGTCTTATGTTAGCAGACTAATGCTGGTTTGGTTAATGTTAGCTTAATTAAATGGCACATATTTGTTCATATATTGACAAAACCTACATTTTTTTAAGGATTTAAAGTCTTTGAAAACCTGTTTTGTTGCCTCACAGCTTGTGATGCTTCCTGCAGCTTGAACAAAGCCACAGATCTTCGTCAGCCACTGATGTCGTTACTTGATAAGACGCTTTTAAAGTTTAAACCGCTAGTTTGAAACTAGCAGTTAAGAAAAGAGGAATACACAGACTTTAATAAATATCTGGTGTGGGCATAAAACACCCACAATACCAGCACACACACACACACACACACATGGACACGCGTTTCAGCTTAATGCCATAAGAGCACGTGACTAACATAAATTATCAAGCAATTCAAATGAATAATTATGTTTTTATTGCACAGATTATGCCCTTTCCCCTAAACTAGTCAGGCTCTGAGGCCTGGGAAATCTATTAAGGCGCTGCTATAGATCATCCCATCCACTGTGGCGTGTATATAGATCGGTCGGCTCATTTGAGAAATATTGAATCGGTTACAGTAAAGTAAGCCCCTGGATTGAGTCAAATGTAAAAATCCAAGCATGTGTGAGGAGCTGTCAGCGCGCGCTGTAATGACGGATGGCGCCGGGTCTCTCTTTCAGCGAGAGGTGATAAAAAGTCAAATTATGAGTGCCGGGGAGGGACAAGAGAGCGTGGGGGAGCTAGAGACGGAGACAGGGGGAGAGAATTGGACAAGATCCGTCAAATGATAAGGGCAATCGGTTAATCTGGGGAGGTTTCGGACGACGGAAAGTGTTATTTCCTCCCAGCGAGGGGGGTCGCTGAGGGGTCAAGAGTACGACCTCTGACCTCCTGCTAGTGGAGAGTGAGACACCAGTCGGTCACTTATTGATTCATGCTCGTCGGTGTTATTTTCTATTGGACATGATCGGTTTCCAATCGCGGTGAAAGTGGATTAAAGATCTGCGTAGGTGTTTTATACTAAAAGGAGGATAAATTAAACTTGCAGTGGAGCACACAGCAGTAATTAATTAGCTACTCATTTTATTTGCTGTGATTTTTTATAAGACACGTTTTGACAAATAACTGAATCCTACAAAATAAAGGTGCACATCATATATGTTGCTCATGATGTTTGATAAACCGTCCAACAATCTGAATGCTCACGAAACCCCCCTCCACAGGCCAGAAGCATAACCCGAAGCAGGACTCGCACGCGACGCATAAATGTTAAAACCCTCCTGAGAAACATCACATCTTCTGGTAGCATCCCCCTGCATCACCCCACAATCTGTCCCTCTCTGCTTTCCGTCTCAGCGGCATCAAACAGACCCCCTCCCAGGCCGACCCCGACCCCCTTCCCCACGCGCTCTGAAACTGACCCGCTCCGAGGTGTGAACTTTTATCCCCCCCCAGCTGATAGAGCCTCCTGATCATTTTTATAGTCCCCATCCTTCGCTCTTTATGACTCTGCAGTTTGATTATAGCGAAGGGGAAGAGGAGTAGGGGGGAGTCGGAGATGTAAGAGCCCTGCAGAGGCACAGCACACACCCATCAAAGGAGCTATGAGAGGAATGTGGGCATTTGTTGTTTGTTTTATCATCCCGTACCAGCACTTATCTACTTAATCATAAAGGATTGGCCTGGGAATGAGGCAGGGTGGACGCTGCGCCGGCCAAACAAACTATTCCCAGCACTGTAATTGAGACCGGAGGGGCGTGCCTGATTCGTTGTGCTTATAGCTGCTTACATGGGAGGTTTGCTTGACGAGAGAAAAGCAGAATATAAGAGAACACAGCTTAAAATGAAATCCTGGAAAAGGAATATGCGAATGAGTGACCCACATTTATTATTTTCTGTTTTCATGAAGGGTGGAAAAGACACGATTTCTTGCAACATTACTGATATATTGTTAATATTTTATGATACATTATCAGTATATAGGGAGTAAATCTTCTTATTTTCAATAAACTGTGATTGCAACTGTGATTCTTTTATCTATTTACCAATTTCTTATTAATCTATTGTCTGTGTGGTCCAGGAAATATTTGAAAAATCACAGTTATTAAGAGATTAAGCCTTCGGATTTTCTGTATGGTTGAAGCAAATGTTCAGAAGCATTAAAAGAATGAAATAAAATTGTGAAATAATTGGAAATCCTCATATTAGAGAAGCTGGAAACAAATATTCCTCAGATTTATTTCTGGAACTGTTATATTTTCTGGTCTTTTGTCACATTTTTGCTGCTCTTTATCAGAGGGATGGTGCATATTTCTCTTGTTCAAAAGTGATAAGCGCTTCCTAAAAATTACTCTCTTGATTCTAGTCTTTGCATCACCTCATGCATGTATAGTATCATCTCCTCTTCGGTTACAGGAATATATTGTATGTGATTTTTTGTTTTTGCAATATATCATATCACAGAATTATTTGTGTAATACTTAACCACCAAGTGCAATATCACAATCTACCTCGCTGCTGATATTTTGCTTTTGTTTTATTGTAGTTATTATTTATTAGGCTTTCTTTTTTTTCACTAAAAAAAAAAAAAAAAAAGGACCTGAGTACAAATTTCATACCACTACCATGTGAATGTGAGCTGGCATGACAAATAAAGTTGTTTGAATCCTTGAAATGCAGTTATAGTCTGCCTATCTCTATTGTTGACAGCAGAGACAGACAAAAAAAATGTTTAATTTTGGTTCACCAAGAGTCTAAAAATAAGCAGTTATTTGTGTGATTTTAATGTATGAGGAGCAAATCAGTCAGATAATTCAGGGAAGCAGTGACACTCAATATACTAATGCACTCATAAAAAAAAGGAGACTCACAGGAGACAGATTAAAGGAATGGCTCAGCAGAGGTTGCGTCATTCTATTTGCTCATTTGAATGAGTTAAGAATCTTTTAATTTGAAGCCCTCTGCCTGGTAAACACACGTGTGTTTTAAATCCCTCCATTTGTAAGGCAGACTTTTTAAAACCTCTAGAGGTAAAACCAGTGGAGTTGTTCTCTCAAACAAAGCTACAAGGAAACTATACGACTGATTCGAAAAGCATTTAAAACTACCAAACATGTCAGTTTTCCTTTATGAGAAAATACAAAGTGGCTGCATTGTGCCGGTTTCAAATTGTTTGTGTTCAAATTTTTTTATAAAAATGAGAAAAAACAAATCTTGAGTCGTCTTCCCACAGATTTCTCACAGTTTTTAACGTCTCACTTTGAACTCTATTGTTTTTCTTTCAGGTCAAATCCTCCAAACACTGATGCTGCAGCACATACATGACTGAGTTACAGTGTGCGAGATCCTCAGCGCTCGGAGTCACAGGATCTCTCTTTCACTGGCCTTGCGAGTCAATCAGCCTCTCTGCCCTTCGTTTCCCCCTGTGTGGGAGGCCGGTGTGCTGGCTTGAGTAGCTGGGAAAGTCCCGTGATTTATGGCCTCTCGCAGGCCTGACTGCCTCTCACCTCTGTGATGATAGAGCCAGAGGTAACGAGGACCGGTCGCCCCAGTCCGCTCCTCTTATTCGCTAATTCCCGTTTTATTCATTTGGGATTGAAAAGGCACTTCACGGCCTTTGCCATCTGGCTCACACGCTATCGCTTGATAAAATAGGAAAGATTTATCAGAGTACTTTTATGTGTAATTGGGTATATGTTTTTACAGGTTGAGTGATCATCACTGGGATAAGATGTTAATGATTAAGTGATCCGGAGGGAGAGAGGAGGCCGTTTATCGTCTCTCTCACATGGTGGACTTTCATTTCTTTATTCATTATTCTTTTTTAAAAAATCTTTTGATGTATTTTCACTGGAACCTTGTAAAAGCGTTTGACGCATGTGTGCCAGCAAACCGAAAGCAGCTTTAAAATGTAGGTTTTCTTTTTTAGATTATCCAACAAGATTTGTTGCGGCTTAATATTTACCTTGTGACTCTTTGGCCCGAACAAGTGTCCAACGCTGCCGTATCAGCAAAATTCAAATACACGCACGCAGAACACGAGACCCGCGAAGGAGGCGGATTCATTACGAGGCCCAGTTTGAGGGTTTCTGCACTTGTTTCAGTCTCCACCGCGGGACCAAGCAGCTCTGACATATTAAAATCAGCCAACCTTACATACGTAGACGGACACACAAGTTCACACACAAAAAAACCAGCAGCAGGGCAGTAACTCAAGGCCAAAGGAGGAGGTTTATTTTTATCATGGGCAAAGGTGCCAAATCATGTTGGTATGAAGGGGGCTATATAAATGCAAATTGTATTGGAGAGCTATTAGTCCTGGAAAAGGTTTGTATGTAAATGCCCTATAGGACCACAGTGGAGCACTCATCCAGTTCAGATTAGTGGGGTCTGTGGCAAATGTGCTGCAAAAGACAAAAAAAGAAAAAAGAAAAAGAAAAATAGACAGAAAACGCAATTGCCTTGTGGTAAATCATGGTGAACAAGGTGAGAAGTTGAGTAATTGAATGGCCAAGGTGTTTCTGTGTGGTTTATTGCGTATGCAAGAGAGATGTGTCGAGGTCTGTTTCCTGCGTGCATATGCAGGTGTTCATGTTTTACGGTCATTTTGTTGGTGATATAGAGTTTTTCTGTACAGACGGCGTAAAGACGGGCAGCTCTGTGAGAAATTAAAGTGCGAATGAGAAGAAATGTTGGAGCGTCACTGAAGTGCCGATTGAAGTCTGCTGCATGCGTCAAAAACAGGCTTTGGGCAGCGTACAAGAGTGTGTGAACGAAACCGAAATGGTGATTACGAAATGAACAAATCAAACATGGCACAGGATGCCACATCACTGATGGAAAGTAGAGGATGTGATAATTGGGCGTTAGGCTGTGATCGACAACACAAGTGCGAGGCCGCCCTCTAGCTTTGGCTGGAGAGACTCACAGGCACCTATCAGTCACAAATCCACCAAACGATGTGCTGAATGTTTATTCAGGAAGTTGTCGTCTACATAGCTTTGGATTAAAACAGTCACATTACAAAAAATAGCGCTCAAAAATAAATAAAACAGTCTATATACAGTATATACATTTCAAGACTCAGGGTTGAGAGGTTAGCATGTGAAGGACATCTGTATCGACTACTTATAAAATTATTTTGTTTACTGCCAAGTGAGGAGAAAATTACAAAAGGGATAGTTTCATTAAAAAAATCAACACATTCTGTTACTTCCTTGACCTGAGAGTAAAATGACTGGAAGTGTAAAGTGCAACTGCAATTTTTCATGTAGTCCTGAGTTATTTCTTTCGAAATCGTATATTTCTGCAAACCCAGGTCATGCCATCCTGGAAAAAAACAAACAAACAAACAATGATCATGCTGAGAAAAGCTGGGATGTGAAACTGATGTTAACATAAAAGTGAGTCAAACATATTAATGATCATCTTTATGTTGCAATAGGAGTAATTTATTCTTTATTTAACAGGGAAGGAAGGCGACATCATGATAACTTATGTACACTCAGTGTCCGTGCCCCTGATTACTTTTGACCAACAAAATGAGGCATGAAACCAATGATATACAATATGTTTACTCATGCTAGGAAACTGTTCTGGTATATCTCGTGGAGACACAGCTGCCAAACCCCTTTACTCTTTAGAAAGATGATAACATGCTTAACTCTGGACCTCTAATCTAGTCAATCTCATAAATGCTATGTATAGTTTTAGCTCTTCTCTGCTTCAACTTATTATAATTTACTGGGTATGACAAGCAAACAGAGTCGCTTTAATACAACAAAATGCTGCTGCATCGTTAATTAACAACAACACTGGTAAATAAGTGAAGATTTGCCAAGACGTTGCCTGCAGGTTCATTTTAATTTGATTTGTATACGATAAATATAAATCTACTTTGTCAGTTCCAGGTTTGAGTAGTTAATATTGTGCAAGTTCCAAAACTGATTGCAAAAGCAGCTGGTGTCACTCTGCGGCTCGCTCCATCTCGACCCTTTGCGTCGTGTGCATGTCGTGTTTGCAGATCGTGTGCACTGGATTTACCTGCACGCCTTCAGCGGTGACTCCTGAGCAGGCCTGCACCTGCCACATGCGATCCCGGATGGTGTGCAAATTGAGACTTTCGGCCAGCTCGGATGCTGGAGTGGCTGTCATCAGGTCCTGCTTGTTGGCAAAGATTAGCAGTGGCACGGCAGCAAGCTTCTCCTCCTCCAGCAACTCAGCTAACTCCTGCAGAAACAGAGGCGCACTGATTGATTGCAAGGACTGTTGGCCTTATATGGATCCAAAAAAACAGATAAACTGAAAATTATCATGCTAATATTGTTGTCGTATGAAATTATTCGTGATCAGCTTTGAATTCCTACAGTTTGTGCTGACTCAGCACATTTTCTAACCCTTAAAATGTTCTCTAATACATATGTGTGAACACTGATCACACAAAAATTGTTTTCCTATTGCACTGTTTTCAAGAAAATACAAACTGTATCTCACCAGACTCGTCTCTTCAAGCCTTTTCCGGTCTGAGCTGTCAATCACATAGATCTGCAAAGAATCCAATCATAGAGATGAACAGACCGATCATAACACTATCTGTAAAAAATTCACTTTCATTCTGGTGATTGTAAGAAGCAGTTCATCAAACAGAACCCACCAGCACGTCTGTATTCTCAAAGTAATTCCTCCAATAGGGACGGATCTTGCGCTGACCTCCAATGTCCCAAACGTTCAACTTAAAGCCAGACGACTGCACGCTCTTTATGTTAAAGCCCTGTTGACAGATAATATAGATGCCTAATGTGTGATTTCACATTTGAAGCAGGTGAATAGAAATAAAACTTGGAAATCTCTGGCTAGAAAAGAAAGGAAATGTGAGCGCTACAGTGAAAAAACTACATTTCCACAGTGTGTAGCTAACCTAGTGTGTCTGTGTGTGTGTGTATTCGTACTTGTGTGGGAGTGATGTGGCTAACATCTTCGGCTGCCAGCTGTTTGAGCAGAGTGGTCTTGCCAGCATTGTCCAATCCTAACAGCAGCAAGCGCACCTCCTGTTCTGGAGCCTGCTTGAGTCTCCGCAGAATGGACAACAAGCCCTGCGGGTGGATCAGAGAACCTATTAGAGGTGATTAGCCTCAAAGGGATAGCAGTTTAAAAGATGGCCCGACACTAGGACACTTGCAAGCATTTTCCCACCGTCACGGAGTCATGACCAAAGCTCAGGTAAAGCTCAGGTAAGCTGCTGGCTGTGTGCATCCTGCCCCAGTCACCAGATGCCATGAACTCAGTTTGAACATTTCTAACCCACAGCTAGAATCATCTAGAGCCTGAGGATTTAGCTCCCAGTTCCTGCGGTGATCTATAAATATGTCAGGCTAAAAGCTCTCTTTGGTCAACCAAGATTAGACACATGTACAGTGAGTACGCGGCTGGTGTCCAGAAGCTCAAGTTCAAGCTATTTGCCCTGCAGTGCGTTTTGTTCAGGTGAAAATGGTCACTGCAGTCTGTGACCTGTAACACAGATCCAATTTAAAATCTACTTTCAGCAGACACGCCAGTGCGTGCAGATTATAGCAAATTTCGGTATACGTCTTTAAAAACCATCTTCAAATTCATAAATTGTCCTTGTTTTTTTCTGATTTTATAATTTTAGCATTTGGGATTTGTATGTTTTCATCTCGACCTCCTTTTTGTTTGATTTTCTTTTTCCCTGTAACACACTTTGTAAAAGGAAGATGTTAAATGAAACACAACTGAATATTACATACGGCAAACCAGACATTCCACTTGGATCTGACTCTGACATTTAACCAGTTATTTAAATCCAGAAGTAAAGATGCTATCATTGAGTAACACTGTTTTCGCTCACAACTCTTTTAGTACAATTACATCATGTAACACTGATCCTTCCTCTCCATAATTTTTTAAACCAATAATAGAAACTTAGCACGGGTACTCTAAACTATACTACATATTTAAGTACAATTCTCCACCATGTGTGTTCTACAGTCGGGTACATTGTTCATAGTGCCATATCTGTACATGTAAAAGGTGTAAACAGTCTCTATTATACCTCTATTTTTATCCTAACTGTACTTTTTTTAATTTAATGTCTTGTTTCTGTCTATTCTAACTCATTTGCATCTAGCTGTTGTAAATTTTTTGGTAAGGGATCAATAAAGTTTATCTTAGTTTGTCTTATTTCAGTGACAACTATAACTTGTATATGTAAAATTCTATACAGTCGAATGGGACAACCATCATCATCGGCCTCAGTGTTAACTTAAAAGTAAATTAACTTCCTACAGCACACATACAGTACATCTAGATGTACATTTTGAATTTCCCCAAAGGGATCTATCTATCTATCTATCTATCTATCTATCTATCTATCTATCTATCTATCTATCTATCTATCTATCTATCTATCTATCTATCTATCTAGTTAGTGCAGATAGAAATCCCTGTACGTGTGAATCGTGCTAACTCACCATGGTTTCTTCAGGTGGTTTTGTGGTCCTTGCTCAGACTGAGTGGATTAGCATCTTTCTGACCATGCTTCCTGGCAGAACAGCTGCTCGGGTCTGTTGCCCGGGAGACCGTGACGTCAGCGTAAACAACGCGAAACGTGGGCGTCACGATCATTTACTTCAAAAAAGTTTTTCCTCACAAATACAGAAAAAAAATAACTTTCACGATTGCATTTTGATGGAATTTGACTTTTGAAATAGGTGTTCTTATTGATTGATAATTTGGGGGAAACACATGCAAAAGTTAATTAAAATACATTTATATATATAGATATATATATTATACATAAATTACATATGCATTTTTACATTTGTCAAAATCATCTATAAGCCCTTGATGAAATAATTCGTTGCATTAGAATGAATTTCCGAGCTGTCCTCTTTCTCTCTTCAAAATTTTGTAGATGCAAAACACCACAGTGACCTACTTTTTGTGTCAGAGTGCTACACCTCTGCTTATGGTTTTATTGCTGAAGGGAAATAATGTTTAACCTCAGAGATCTGATGCACCGAGAAGCTTGAGGAAGCTGGCGTTGAGAAAGAGCTGAATATATTGTCAATCAGTAACAGGTTGTTAGAATTGCTGCACCAAGCAAACGGAAGTTAAGGAGATCTGATGCAATCCTTTAACCTGAAAGTAATTGTTATTATTAATTTTTTTATTTTTTTTGCAGCCAAATGATAACGTGTTTCAGTGTGTATTAATGCTCCTCGTTAAACTTGATTGTGTATTATGTGAAATCCCCCCACACACACGCACACGCAGCGCCCCCTACAGCCGGCTCGGCCGCATTTAAACCCAGCGGGGTTCAGTCCAGGAACAACAAAAACATGTCCGAGTGCGACAAGCAGAACCGTTACTAGCCTCAGCTACCTGCTGTCACCTCAACAAGTCGTCGAGTCCACTACTGCTATATGGTTCCCGTCGTGTTCACGGCCGAAAACCCAGAAAGATGCCGCAGAAAGCACTGGGATCCATTGTAGGTCTTCTTTGTACCGGGACCTGTCTGGTGCAGGTAAGCCGCCGCTAGAGCTCCCGGCCCCGGCGGATGCTCGCAGCCGAGGCCGCGGCTCCTGGGCTGGGTGAAGGCCCGCTGTCGATCCTTTTTGTCTCCTCCACAAAGGAAACCGGGCACGGTTCGCTACTGTATTACTGGGGATGACGTCAGTTAGTAAAAGTTTTCATTTATATTTCGACAGATAATTTGCGGTCAGGTTCGGTTCGTGACGCTAAAAGCTTCGGGGATGTGTTTTATTTCGTACATTTTACAGCCTGAAGCAACGATGTCAAGATTAACGTTAGCCGCTGCTAGCTGGTACCCGGCAAACTGACGTATTTATTCAGAGCTGTTGATGTTGGCTGGACAGACTGAGCAGTCAGCCTCGGTTTGTCCGGGTAGCTCTCAATATTGAAACGATGTTTTAAATTTTATTAAAACATATGAAAACCGACATGAACTGTCTCAGTGGCAGATAAGCCGTTGAGCAGTTTATTGTCACATATTAATCAACATGTTGATGTCGTTTGGCAGTGACAGAATTGCGGTATTTTTTAAAAAATTATATTTTGGTGTCAAAACCTTGATATTTAAATTGACACGTAGCCAGATGTCGCTGAAGCTGTGGGCCTCATCCCCAGGCATCTTACAGAAAATTCAAAATCTGTGTATTTTACGTGTTTGAATAGAGGTGACACAGAGATGTGCGAAGAGAGTGGCACTTAGGTGACAATGAGACTAGTTAAATAGATCCTAGAAATAGGTCATACCGTCCAGAGTTTGCTGTGCATTTTCTTGTGTACTCGTCTGATTTAGTATTGACTCAACTGTTCTATGTACCTCTTGTGTGTGTTTAAGGGGAAGGAGTTCTGTTTTGGGGTAAACAATGAGCAGTACCGCTGTGAGATGGGGTACTGCTGTGGGGAGACGGAGTGCTGCACTTACTACTATGAGCTCTGGTGTAAGTACATGACATTTTTATTTTTGCTCAACTTTCATTCAGACACATCACATACTGCATATGTCTAACCCTTCCTCTTGTCAGTTAAATTCTTCTTTTTAAAGACAGAATGTTTGGCTTTTGTGGTTTCATTTTCACTTTCTCAGTCACCACATTTAACTCCAGGCTTAATTCCTCATTGGAGAGAAGTTTAAAGTTCAGCGAAGCCCTGATTAGTTGGATGTGTTATCTACCATTGTTGATGATGATAAGATTTCACTGCGTGTGTCCCCTCTCGTAGGGTTCTGGTTGGTATGGACGCTGATCATCATGCTGAGTTGCTGCTGTGCCTACCGACACCGGAGGGTTAAAATGCGTCTGCAGCAGGAGCAGCGCCAACGTGAGATCAGCCTCATGGCTTATCAAGGAGCCTCGAGCTCCTTCATTTCACCTCCACCTCTCAATTTAAGTGAGTTGGCTTCCAGAATGTCACATTTTTAATTTTTGTTACCTTGAGATTACATGTTTTCATCTTACAGCAAGTCAAAACAGATGACAGTTCTTTAGCCCAATCTATCAGATATAAAGGGCACTCTCCCTTTTCATATCTGTATGCTGAATACGTTGAAGGAGCCACAAACAGGGTTGTGGTGGTGTAAACATACGAGGCCCAGATAATCTCTTCTGCAGCAACTTTCTCCAGCTCCTCCTGTGGGATCCTTATTTGCTCCCAGACCTGCTGGGAGATTCCATTTCTGCTGAGTGTGTCTTGGGGTCTCCCCAGATTTAGTGCTGAGCTGCACCGTGATAACATTATCTACTTTATTGTTCCACCTATCAGGCAAAGTGAAAGCAGCCACCCTACAGGCTTATTGTTGGCAGCTTGGTGTTCAATATTATTTATTGGGCATCACTTGAAGCTCATGTCTGTAGATAAAGGTCATGACATTGCTCTCTGTGTCACAAAGATCTAATGCAATGTGCACATTATAGCAGTAAATCTCTCAGATCGATGACATACCTGATGTTCCCCTGAATGAATGAATGAAGCAGCTGCCTTTTGGTGACAGATAGTCATAACCTTAGAATTTCAGAACTTGATCACCATCCTGATCGTGTCATACCTCGCTGCACATTTTGCAAGTGTGTGTTGACGATCGTGGCCAGAAGTCACCAGAGCCTCATCAGACAGCAGGGATGCCAACCTAATGTCAGTGGTCGCTCTGGACTTCGTCTGAAACGTGATATCGTGTCCACTAATATCACAAGTGGGACTTGGACAAGGTACACACTTGTCAGAGTCTGAGGACCACAGTGAACACGCTTGACTTAATGTCAAGAATGTGAACACAACTCTTAACTGTACACATACTTAGACAGTGACTCAGGCTGAGATCCTGGCAACATGCACTGTTGTTGCTCTTCTGTCCAGATATCACATGCAACTAGCAATAGCCCTATTTCTGCAGAAACTGATCAACACATCGCACCATGTAAGGCTTTGTGGTGACACCGATCTAGAACAGCTATCAGACTTTGTGTGCTGTCAGGATGGTTAGTTTAAGGGTTGATATTTCAGAAAGTTAAGCCTTCAGCAAAATTTGTTAAAAGGTCCATATAGCTCGGACTGTCCTTTTGATTTTATGTCTTGGGTTGACTGAAGGTTCAGGTGCCAACATTTTGAAAGCTGACAATTTAGTGTGTGATAGTGTTGTAGTTTTATTTCTGCAGTCATTGTTAAATTAAACTATACATGTGTAGATAGCACGAGTTATAAGTTTGGCCATAGTGCTGAAACTAATGGTTCTTATCATTAGTGATTATTATTCTGGTTATTTTCTCCATTCATTTATTGTTGGGTCTATAAAATAACAGTAACTAGCAAAATGTACCTACCAACATTTCCCATAACCAAAACATATTCAAATAGATTTTTCTGTCCAGTCAGCCATCCAAAAGTAAGTAGGAGATGTCTAACATCTGAAAAGGGGAAACTGGTGACTTTTTTGGTATTTTAGCTTTAATTTTTTTGTCCTTATATTCTGTTTATGAACTAATAGATTGAACGGCTAATCGTCAGTCACAATGATGGTTGGAAAACTAAAGCTTTTGTATTTGCTTACTTTCAGGATTCTGGAACGACTGCAAGCTTCCTGACTATGAAGAGGTAGTAGGCCACCCTCCGACACCACCTCCCCCTTACTCTGAAAACCCTCCTGAGTCCACTCCAGCACTCCTTCCACAAGTGAGCCAACCAGACACTGTACCTGTGCCACAACCCCCGTCTGAGGCAGATCCGACGGAGGCAAGTCAAGCCTCAGGCTCATCATCAGACCAGGAGGCGGCGTCGCTCCCCATCCAAGTACAGTGTGAGGCAGAGGAGAATGTAGAGGCTGCGCTGATGGTGGCGGAGGAGGAGGACGAGGAGCTCGTCACTCGCCGTCGGCATGTCACCGGCGACTCAGGGATTGAGGTGTGCGTTTGTCAGCTGGACGTAGACGAAGGTTCAGGGCTTGAGGAGGAAAGCGACGAGGAGCACCGGATGTGCAACGTCAGCGGGAGGGACTGCTGCTCCGGGCACCAGCAGCAGCCCTTCAGACAGAAGGAGCACAACTCGGAGCTGCCCAACCAGACCGCCAGCACCAGCACTGGAGACCACATGGTGTGACCCACAGCGTAACTAACCAGCCAACCAGTGGGGCTTCGTGCTTCACGCAGGGTAATAGCTGTCGCCATCCTCATCACCAGAGGAACTGTCTGTGTTTTAGTTCCTCGAATTAACACATAGACATGACGTTAAGATGATGACGATGACTAATCTTTAATGGCTCCTGATTAGGGAAGATAAATAATAAAATGTGGACAAACTCCTCTTTTTTTTTTTTTTTTCTTTTGCTTTGCTTTTCTCAGTGGGGGAACCAGCAAACACATGTTGCTCCTTTTGGTTTGTATTTTCTTAGTATTAAGCACGAGAACATCATCGGGTTGTGAGAAGACAGCAATTGATTGTGACTGAAACCAGAATTGACTGTTTCCCTCGGCCTCTCCTTCAGCACTGCTGTCATGTTTCCGTTTCTGTCCCGCAAATCTCCTTGGTCCGAACGTTTCCAGCCGTCCTTCCATCTGACATTTTACCTCTGGTGGGATGGTCATTCAGGAGCATACCGACACGGTCAACAACATTTCTCTCTTATCCCCGTTATGACTAAGCAGAGGAGTCAAAAACAAACCTCTTAAGAACCTTAGGATGATACTGGATGAATCGACGAGATTACGTTTAGTTTTCCCCAAAGCTGCGTGCGTGCAAGACTGCGTGAGTGCTGTGAAAATCTAGGCCACAGCTGCATAGTGATGTCAGCTCTGAGGTCACGGCAGCCGGCGTCTCGTGTCCTCTGGTGTGCAGTCTGTGGGACTCGAGAGGGGGAGACTGTACAACTCACATAACGGGAGGAGAAGAGTTGACTTTGTTGTTTGGTGTCTGGGTTTGAAATGTCATACAACCCCCCCCTTGCAGAGCTCTTTCTACTACTTGATATCCATGTTGTGGTCTCCTGAGCTGTGTGGCCACCAGTTAGCATGACGTAAGGGGTGTTCACTATTTCAGTGATTAATTGATTGTGTGCATGTGATCCCCCCCCACTCCAGTTTCTGACTGCATTAAATTCATAGTAATAACCAAGTGGGCTATGCCACCAATTTTTGTAATCAATATAAAGCCTTGTGGTGGCTCTATATTAGTGTGTTTTATTTACTGCGTTATGTCCGAGTGAATTTATCGCTCAGTATATAGTTTGGATGTTCATATTGAAGGATGTACTTGCTTTTTTTTTTTTTTTTTTTCATTTCATAACCAGCTGTGCTTCAGTAAATACCACAGGTGTCACCGTTAATTGCAACAAAGCCCCTGACAGGGGCTGCTAGAGTGCGTACTAGTGAGTGGGTGTTTTTGTGCAGTAGGGAAGAGTTGAGTTGTGTGTGTGTACATTTTTTTAAAGTGCTGTAGCATCTGGTTGAAATCACTGAGGTGGATTAACAATTTAAAGCACTGGTATTTTGCATGAGGCATGATTTTCTGTGTTTTGTATTTGAGTTTATTAGCATTTTCTATTAGCGGTTGTGCTACTTGCTTTGCTAATCGGTCACAATAATGGCAGGCTGCAGTGGCATCAAAACTCCATGCCCCAGATGTTGGGGTAAAGAAATGGACTGAGGTTTAGCTTTAGATGTCTGGATCTAGTTTTATCGTGTTGTTATGAGGGTATGAGCCGCGCTCGGCTGTTATGCAGCGCTGGTCGTTAGTTAGATGGTGCTGTCTTGGCTCTTTGTGGCCCCTGTAGCTCTTGGCAGTGCGAGGGATTTGCAGTGGTATTTTCCATTGGCAGCAAAGGGCCGGTGCATTAGCAAGCTGAGATGGATGCAGGCTCTGCTCTGCAGTCTATTCAGTGCTGGCACAGCTGCAGAATCTATTGCGATGAACTGCTCTTCAGCGTGCATGTTGTTTGCCCAGTATCTTGCACAATTTGTGTTCAAAACATAGCAGTCACAGTGGTTGTTGCCAGCTAGGAAAACAACAGCAAAACACAATTATTTCTTGCAGGATAAACATCTGTGCAAGATGAGCAGTAACTGATGAGTCAGAAAGTATTTAATGAAGAATTTAGTTTGGAACCACGATCAACAGCTTTGCATTCGTCTGCTTGATACTGTGTGTTGAAATGGGCACAGTGTAAAGACTCAGGTCTGTCATTCTGCTTCACACGCGCACCCACAAAGCACTGCCGCTGATTGGACTTTACCACTGTCATTATGTTTACAGTGTCGTAATATTCCGTTGTCTAGATGAATCCATCAAAGGTAACAAAACCACAAACACAGTCTCTCGGCTGAATTGGGTGATTTAAACTTCCACTTGAGTCCAAATGCGTTGTGACGTTTTTAAAATACAGCTGAGCATACAGTTGCACTTTGCAAAGTGGGGTAGTAAATGTTAATGTTTCAGGTTGGCAGGATAGTTTTGATCTTTATCTTCAGCACTGATTGAACTCTGATAAGGACACTTTGGGGAAAATTACTGGTCTCCTAACAAGACTTGACACTGGGTTAGGCACACTGATACGTATGATTTTTAGGTCACTGCAGCTCAAGTGTTTCCTTTTCAGCTAGCAGCAGTTGTGTTTGAGTGAGCTAGACTACTTGTGGGAAAACAATACACGAGGGCCACTGTAGCAAATATGTCAATAGAGAGTGAAACAAAAATGAATGCACAGCTGCCTAAAGACTTCATTTAATGTCCATTAAACAGGTTCAACCAAACATGCTAGTATTTAGTTTTGCAGCAGTAATGAACGGTTCGCAGTCCTTGTGTTGCGTCAGTGTTGCGTAGTTTAGCAGGTGCTTAAACATGAAGCCATACTAACATGACAATGACCTTTTCCGTGGAGCAGTTACACTGTGAGCATGACTGCACACCCATTAGTAGAAGTCATAAAAAGACATCTTTTGACGACACACCTCAAGCTGCCTTGCTGCATTTCTAGAGAGCAAACGTCTTGATTATTGAGCTGCACAATAAAATATAACCTCTGTACGTGGAAACAGATGTGATACTGCCTTATTAGAGTAGATGTAGTCATGTGGTTTTGTTGTTGTTGTTGTTATTATTCTTTTTTGAAAGGTAAAATGGTTGTGTCGTTCCAAGCATGGTTGACTTTAGAGCAGAGGAGTGCTTTTGTATCAATAGAAAAAATAGCATCTGAGCGCCTTCCGAGAAAGTGCGCTGGCTCTGTGAGAAAAGGATGTGGTTTGTAAACATTTAAAAAGCCTCACGATTGAAACTGTCACATGTTCTGTACAGTTTTACTTACATTGGTTGTGTAACCGAGACGTGGTTGTGTTGCATTTGAAATACTGTGCTTGTAGTTAGTTGTGGCACTGATGGAATTCGTCAAGACCAGATTGTTGAGCTCATACTCATTCTGTTTTTCGTTCCACGAATCTGGTTGCAATTAGTTTGTGAAATTAACAGACTAGAAAGCATGAGGAAAAAAAAAAAAAAAAATCTCATTTTTGTTTTCTGTGGGTGTGTTTCGATTCGTCCTACTTACGTTTCGGGGGGGGACAAAAATGAACTCCAACAAGAGATTGCTTTGTAACCTGTTTGCTAAGGTGCATCTTTGCTTATTTGTATACATATGTAGAAAACTAATAGAACAGGGGGGAGGGGGTGTGTGAGGAATAAGAGAAGGATTGAGGTTCCTTTTGTGCATCAGTGAACCGGAGGTCCATAGTTTTCCCATTGCCAAACAACTGCTATGCCTCCATGGTTTTCACATGTTTACTGAGAGTAAGGGCTATATCAGTCATGAACTGTTGACAGACATTATCCATCCATTTCACCGAGCGATTCATCTGTCGTCGTGTGCTGTTCGTTTTGACGCCACAGTTGCCGAGATCCACCATCTGAACATGGTCAGAAATGTGTCATGTTAACATGTTTGGGTTTGGATGTCTCTTAACGTTGTGGTGGAGCTCATATTTATCTACTAGCTGATTGTATATGACCATGTATGTTTGTTTTTATAGGCTTTAACTTTGCCTTCTTGTTTTGTCACCCTCAACAGAGGTGCGTGATGCGACGTAACCGACCCCTCTCTCTCTCCCCCTCCTACATGTATTGAAAATGCGTTTTACTAACTAGCTTCATGTGGCAGGAGTGTTTTTTTTTTTTTTGCTTTGCTCCGTTGGCTCCTTGTGGACCGTGACTCCACCCCTCCGCCAGGCTGTGTCTTGGTAACAGAAACTGTAGCCAACAGTGTAGCTGTTTGTTTTTCTCAGCTGCATGTGAACCCTTGGTAACAAAAGAACACATCCACCCATGCAGAGCTGTCGACAGAATAATCTACCAAAGTCTTTGCCATCTCCGTGCTACAAGGATCATCACTGTTTACCACTCTGTGTGTGCTTGTGTCTGTATGTGTGTGTGGTTGTCATGACGATGGTCTGTTTGGTTTCACACTCTCAGGGTTATCTTTAACAAGCAGTGCTAGAATTTAAAAATCCACACATTTTTGACCCACAAGTCTCATAAAGCCAAAGCTTCACGATTATTGTCTCCCCCCGTCGTCGTCGTCGTCGTCTATTGTTTCTGCATCACGCATCTCTGTGAACTTTACTCGACTAGGCTATGCAAAAACATAAAACCTACTGTTATATGCTGCGACCCCTTTCTCACTTTCTCTGCCATTTTTGTCTGTGGGCACCAGTACAAGCAATATAACTCTCACTGTACTGTAATCTACTTCGGTTGGTCTGTGTATATGTATTTGTCTAAAAAAGTGAAAAAGTAAAAAAAATATACTTTTATTGCTACTACAATAATGTGGTGAGTACGTCTGCTTCAATGTCCTTCGAGGGGCTTGAGTTAAAAAGCCATTCTAGTTTATTATATATATATAGTTTTTCCCTTCTTTTTGGCTTTTCCCTGTCTGCCTCCCTCTCAACCACTAACACATCCTACTTCTGACTTACGGATAAACCACATTAAGTATGTCAAAGGAAAAAAAAGTTGAATATATATTATTTCTGTATGATCGTATTTGGTATCTTTTTTGTTGTTGCACTCACTCGCTGTGTTTTGGTTTCTCAGATTAAAACCGCCTTTTTTTTTCCATCTTCGCAAATTTTCAGAACGAGTATTTAACTGTTGCCTTTAATCCTCAGTTAATGCGACACCATCAGTTTTTTCGTATTATACACATGAAAGACCTCAACGTGGAACACAGTCGGCTCGCGTCAGACCAGCTCACATTCGGCTGATCCGCTTTGGTGAGTCCTCAACACTTTATCCAAACGAAATAAGATCACCGTCATCAGTGTGATTGTTTCTATCAAACCTGTGAATTGTACTACTTCTTTTTTTTTTTTTTACCTCAACCATAGATAATACCAAACAGATGGAGGTGCCATGGTTGAGTTATGTGGATTTTTTTTTTTTTTTGCCAAAATGAGAAACATCCTGGTTTAAAGAGGGAAGCAGGCATTAAAAGAAAAATGTGACTCTTTCTACATTGATTTCATAACAACTTTAAACAAGCCAAAATGAGTAAAGTGGAAAAAAAATTTCAAGCATTGTCTGACTGATTTAAAAAAAAAAAAAAAGCTTTGGTTTTAGTATGAAGTCTGCTGTGTACTCTTTGGGTCATCATTTGTATTTTATTTTTTTAATAAAACAAACATTGGCGCTCTGCTAACCGACTTGCACTTTCTTCTTTAATCAAAATCCGCTGAATTTATCAAGTTTGTAACACATGGTCTTTTACAGAAACCTGGTTTTAGGTTAAAATCAGGCCTTCGGGTTTTTAGATGGGCTGTTCTAGAAACGTGGGCTGTAATAACAAAGCGACGCCTCGCTGTGGATTGTTGTTTTGACTTTGGGTAGAAGACCTTGAAGGTTCTTATGATAAAAGCAAATCTGGTAATTGGGGAGAACCAAGACTATTAAAGCTTTATAACCAATAAAAGGATCTTAAAGCAAACAGACAGCCAGTGCACAGACTTAAAAATTGGGGTTTTATGGTTTCCTTCCGTCTTTGGTTAACACCCATGCAGCTGAGTTTGTAAGATGTTCTTATATGTTCTTCTTGGGGAAACCAGACAGTCTATTCTTGTTGTCTTTGTACTGGTTTGGTGTTCTTTAAATGATTAGAATGCATTATGTTTCTAATGCAAGACTCCAATCTGAGATTTGAGACAAGGATGAATCCCATTTGAATGTCAGTGCTGCAGCTTCACATTAAGTTTCTCTCACTGAGTTTCAGTATTAATGACTTTGATCCCAATTAAGCCGCTGCAAATCCTTTGCCATCCATAACTTGACGCTGAAATACAAGTACAAAGGGCGCTGATTAGCCCCGGGTCATTAGAAAACAAGAGATGTAAAACTGTTAACATAGCAGTGGACATTAATACTCTTGTTTCCAAGTGACAGTAAAGGCTAAAAAGTGCAGGGCTTAAAATCGTACCTTGAGGAACACCTTTATTTATTTCACTGCTTTTCGATGAACAATCCATGCTCACAAAAAAAAATCTCCATCTTTAAGAATACATTTAAACCAGTAAAAAAAACTATCCAAAAGAATCAAGCCGTTATTTACAACCTTCATTAGTTCTGCCTCGGTACTTTGAAGTGAGCTTCGAGCACTTGAGTGAAAGCGAATGCCCCACCCAGGCATGTGACAAGGCTGAGATATCGATCTGGAGGATCATCACACGACTGAGTGAGAGGACCCTGAGGCTGTTTGCCTAAATTATTGATGGGTGTTGCGTCATTCAAAAATCTGGATAACACAGCATCCTGTTGTTCCCACACTGTGGGATCACAAGATTGCTGCGGTGCGCTTTGAAAACATGGTTGATACTTTTTGTGCTCAAGCGAGAAACATTAGGAATGTACTCATAACGTAAAACTGTGGTTACACACACGGCGGGGGTTTTCCTGGTTCAGATCGGGCCTTGAGGGGCGTGACTATGCACAATAAAGGCAAGAAGTGTGTCTTTTTAACGCAAATATATACCTTATGCTGTCATTTCAGACCATTTGATAAACAAAAATGTTTATTATGTCCATTAATTTTGAAGATGTTCTCAGCTCTTACTATTTTGGCTCTAGGGATTTTCCTTTGCCACTTGCTAAAACCTGTTTGGTGTTTCTCTGTTATCTCGTATTATCTGCGTGTCAACACGATGCATGCAAACCTCGCTTATACAGCAGTTCTGCACTGCAGTGTCAGTGTGCTGTTGGTATGTTTGGGTCAAATGAAATCTTTGAGGACAAGGAAACAAGATAAAAACTGTTAAATTTATAAATTACAGTTTGTCACTGGACGGATACATGGAGGCACGGTTTTCAAACAGAACAAAAAAACGAGAAGGCAACATACAACAGAATGTAAATAAAGTTGGGCGGCTGTGAAAGTGCCTCCTAGAAATGAGGAAGCCCTCGAGAATTGCACAATAACACAAAGCACCACATAAAAGATATATGATGTTGACGTGAGGCTTGAAACCATCTGTAGACCATACAGGAGAAGATGAGGCTGAGTCAACCGCAACCGGCCAACGCCTACATCTCTAACCCTCGGGACCAAACCAGTATGTTTGCTTGGGTCACCGTGAAAGCGTATGTGAAACACACAACAGAAAAAACAGAGGTGATGTTTTTACATGTAACAAAAGAAACACAAACAAAAGGTCATTTTAGTGTTTAACCTGACAGAGACAGAGAAAACTCTCTCGACTTTCCCTTCAGCGTAAAGATTCGAGCCATTTAGACGAGTTTATTTTAAATATAATCAGAGGGATTTGCTCTGAACTGATCAAGAAATTTTTAATCGTTTTATCAAATGTGCACAAACACTCAGGAAGGAACAAGTATAAATAAAATTATAGAACATTTGAAGTTAAATATTTCCCTGAAACACCCACATTTTTGCCGTCAGCATGCATCAGTGAGGAAGAGGTCAGTTTACATTAACACATAAAATGGCCACATACGCCGTAAACGAAGAGCAGCCTTCAGTTCAACTGCAAAAGTACTCCAGCGAATGTCATGCATACTACAGCAACTATAGAATAAGAACTTACAGTACGTTATGTCGTATTCACAGAGTCGAAACGATTGAGCAGATTTCTGAGAGGCTTTTCTAAAGCAACGATGCATCTTACAGCAACATGGATCAGCGGTTTGTATGAGTGTTTGGTTAGCGCTTTGTACTGCAGGTGCTCAATGAATCACAAGCACATCAGATGCTTCAATACTTCAACTTTTCAAAGCCGTAAAATTAACATCAGTGAAAATTAGCAGGAAAAAAAAAGAAGTAGAGTTTTATATCTGTCGAACGCAGCAAACGGTAACAAAAATAAAAATGTAGCTGCTCATAAGAAGTTGTGTAAGAGACTGCACATCTGCTGTGTAACGGCTACACAGGTGGAGATGGTAAGGCCCAGGTGGTGTGTGCCAGGCAGGAATCGAGCACAAAGTGTAAAACAAAGTTCTCCTAATGGTTCACGACGACCGATGGCAAAGTTGGAGGATGGCTTTTTGTAGCAGAGGATACGTTCACCTCGTCTCCTGTCAGTCTTGTGTTGTCCTCAGGATTAGGCAGAGCCCACGTGGCTCCACTGGCAGCTCCGTCTCAGTGCAGTTGGGTCCACGGACCGCAGTAGTCATCACAATCACGGCCTTCTTTTTTGACTCTCCTCAGTAGAAGCGCTTGCGTCGGCTCTCGTTCCAGTGGCTGTAGACCACCAGGCCGATGACGATGAGGAAGATGCAGCCCAGCATGGAGAAGAGCACGGTGAAGAAAATGGATATCCCGCTCATTCCCTCTTCAACTGGACCCACTGGAAGACAGAAGAGGTGATGAAAAGGTAAGCAGCAAACAGAGAGGGGAGACAGAAAAGGTGATGAAAAACAATCATCTGACAGCTGGATTCATGTTGTGGGCATTTATGTCTTACATCTGAGCAGCTCCATGTTGTCTACACTGGGTATGGTTATTTCATCTTCCTTTTCTTCTTCCTCTTCCTTTTTACTCCGCAGCACCGTCAGCTGGTAGAGTTTCAGTGAAATTACATCATGGTTATCTATGAATAGAGGATCAGAAGATATGATTACATGAGGAAAAAAAGTCACACATAAAAGATAAAAGGGATTTTAAGAGAATGTTTTTGAGGTTTTTACAATTCCTGGTTAATGCAAACGCTTTATTTTTGGCAAATATTTAAATGACACACGTGGAATAAAATGATTTTAATAGAATATAAGTTGACGTTTTAGTCAAACTTTGCTGATTTTTAAAAGTTAACACTCCTTTTCTGGGTTAACCACCCAGCTACATTGGAATGATTAAAAAGATACTGCTTCTTCATTTTGTGATTCTTGGGAATTTAGACAAGGTGTTCTGCAAATTCGGCTATCCAGCGAAAAGGCATTTGCAAGAAAAAGGCATAGCATGCTAGCAGACTGTGGTCTGTAGGAGGTGTAGGAACTTGCAAACAAGCTGAAGAATCACTAATGTGCTGTAGTTTTTAATGAAGGGTATGTTTCTGGTCGTTTGCAAGGTGGCTCGGTGGTTAGCATCGTTGCCTTGCAGCAAGAAGAACACCCGGGATCTTTCTGCGTGGAGTTTGCATGTTCTCCCCGTGCAGCGTGGGTTCTCTCTGGGTTCTCCGGCTTCCTCCCACACAGTCCAAAAACATGTTGAGGTTAATTGGTGATTCTAAATTGTCCGTAGGTGTGAATGTGAGTGTGCTTGGTTGTCTGTCTCTAAGTGTAGCCTTGTGATAGACTGGTGACCTGTCCAGGTGAACCTGCCTTCACCCTGAGTCAGCTGGGATAGACTCCAGCTCCCCTGCTACCCTAGTGAGGATTAAGCGGTGTATAGATAATGGATGGATGGATAGATAGTGGATGGATAATGATCTAGCAAAACAGGCTTAATGTTGAAGTACAGAATCTCATAAAATGTATTTACCTATAAAAAATGACCTGTTTATTTAAGTCAGAATAGAGTAGAATAGAATAGAATAGAACTTTATTGATCCCCTTGGTGGAAACCTCAGGGAAATTGCTGACACAACTGTTAGAGAGAAATGTCCTGCTGTATACTAAAGTTATTCCAGAGAATTTGATGACAAACAACAAATACAGATGAGCAGCATATCAAGCACTAGTATTACGCATAAGGGCATCACTCTGTGGTGAGATCACAGAGACGCGGCTAAATGTAGTTATTAGTGTTTGAAGTGCAGCAGCCACCATTACCCAGGAGCTGTTTACCTGAGAGGTCTCCGGTGATTGCTGAAGCTCCAAAATAATACCCTTGTGGCAGCCGCACCCCGGGAATATCCAGACAGTCCCTCCACTCGTGCTGCCCGTCGATATCTATCATCACCTGCTCAACAGAGGCAATCGGTTACTTCTAGAGCATATTTATCTCGGCACCTGTCTCTTAGTTCTGCTTCCAAAAGCTGGCTAGTTAATGTTTCTCAACAACTTACTGAGCATCATGTAGAAACCACTGAAACCTTAGACATAAAGCTACGTGTGGGTTCGGTATGTTTTGTGCTTGTACATCGTAAACATGCAGCCTACTGTCTTAAGCCTTCATTTCTAATTACTTCTATCCAAGGTTCACTATTAGGAATTATTATAGTACTCATAATAATTTGCATGATACAGTCAGCTGCTTTTTCATGAGTGCCAAAGATGCCTTAGATTTATGCATCTCTGGAAAGAATCTTTTTTTTTCTGGGCACCGATTCTTATCCAATAAAATAATTTGCTAACAACAGGTTACACAGTCCAGGATATTAAAATGTGAATGCCAAGTGCAAGAGTTGTTATTGCGAATAATTAAAGATACAAATCAAAGCGTGCATCTCTCACCGTTAGCCTGCGGCGGACGTATCGGATGAAGAGGAAGGTGTCGTGTTTGAGGTTGCGCACCATGGCGTTGCAGCCGCCCAGCTCCGTGGGCCGACCGTCCCGCTCGTGGTCGTAGCTGACGGTGCCGTTTCCCACCATGGCCAGAACGAATGGGAAGATCCTCTTGTGGTTGCAGGAGGAAAAGGAGAGAAGTGAGAAACAAAGCTTGATTTAGGTTAGTTTTTTTTTTTCTATCACAGATCACAGGGAGATATTTTCCCAAGAAGTACATTTTTATTTTACATTTTGCTGTAACATGCAAACTGAAAAGAAACTGTATGCGGCATCTCAGGATGTCAGAACAATACAAAACAGTTACAGTGTGCACATGCGATATTATTTGTGAAACAGCAAATACGGAGCTCTGTAGCATGAAAAGCGTTTTTAATCGTAGATCAGTTCACGTAAAAAAAATTCAATCATGAACCAGGCTACAGGAGGAAAACAAACACTGACAGAGAACACAAAGGCGCTAGAGAACAAAAAAAAAAAAACACAATAATAAAAATCCAAAAAGCACAAAAACGCACACCACACTGTCACACGTGCACATATTCTATCACAATATACAGACTTTTTTTTTTTTGCACGACTTTATAATTCTGTTATAATTTTTATTACTCTGAATACGACACAGCATTCATGCAGGGACAAAAAAACCATCACAGACAGCACTGTTTCAAAAATCCTAAGTGTTTCCAGCCAGTGAACCATGTTTAATGTCCAGTGGAGGCTGGATAAGGAGGCTAGACTAGAATCAAATGTTCCAAAGCATGTTTACCTGTGTGCGAGGAGTGTACCTCTTCTTCTGCGCCTGTCTCCAAGTGGTTGCACAAAAGAACACAAATACAGCCCCTTTACATAAATCTGCAGTAACACTTGTCCGTGGGTGCCACTTTAACCCCACTGTGTTTTCACACACGCGCTAAGATCTAAGCAGAGCCACTGCAGCATACCTCTATGTGTTTCTCCTCATTGGGATATGTGTCCACAAAAACACCCAAGCCAGTGAAGTTGTCCATATTTCCAAACACCGGACCTGTAAAAGTACACACAACGATTAATTCCGTATAGGGTAGGAGTTGGGTTTACATCATGTCCTGTAGTGTTTACCTTTCTGCATACGCTCCTTAGTGTACCAAATCGCCATCCCGTCACCATTCAGGCTCTTCTTCCCTTGACCGTGGATCTTAAAGTGCACCTGCATCTCCCAGTCCTTAAGATGACACGGCTAGAAAACACAGACAAAATATAAAGCTACTGAGCCACAAACTATTTACCACGATATGGAGGCAAGAAACGCATGAGAGTGTCAAGACATTCCCAAATATTGGATCTGTTTTGGTCTTCGGTATGACCCATCTGGTTCCCCCTTTGAACGCGGCTTCCTGAATCGCTGTCCACTAGATTTGGCGTTCGGGCTTATATTCGGTGTGGCTGAGCTGACTACTTGAGTCAGGCTTAAGGTTGGGTTGACATCAGAATGTTTTCATGGCACTAAAATGTTGACAGCTTCGATGTCTGAGTCCAGGCATGTCGCTGTGGTTTTCACTCAACCAAAACTATGAGCAACAGGTTATGAATGTGTTCATTTTGGCAGGGAAGCGATCAAATCCAGCGAGTTTGCGGCAACAATGGAAGCTAAGATTTTTGCTAAAGCTTCTGCTGACCTTAAGAATATCTAAACCCTGCGTAAACATACCAATTTCTATCGTATAGTGATTGAACATAAGCATGACTAAACCATATCCCCAAAGAGTACATTGAATATCCTCTGACTGTTAGAATTACCAACAGTAAAGACACCAGTGGCAGTTTTATCATTAGGCTCTTGACCTTTGTATAATTCATTCCCTGTATATCAGTTGCAGCAGACTAAATATTAGAATCACCAGCAGTTTGAAGTGAAAACATTCCTGAATGTAAGATTTACAGCAGTGTTCTTGTGTTGTGTTAGCTTGCTTTGTGTTTTTTATCTAGGTCAAACTAATAAATTAGAAACTGCACAAGTGCACAGGTTATTGAGTTCTTCTCGTATTGCTCAACGGTTATAAGCCTCTGGGATGTTCCAAGAACCATTCGTCTTCATTTGTGTTTTGTAACTTTGGCTCTCACTGTGAGTAACTCCAGCTGTACATGTTAGACAAAACACTGGTGTTTTAACTTGTTTCTACAAGCGTTCTAAATACATCACTGGGAAGTCACACACACAGAGCGGAATCAGTTACAATCTTATGTTCGTTCCAGTACCTCACCTTACCTGAAATCACCACTCCTAACACACCAAGGACGCTAGAAAACTGCACTCTCTAGACCTGCAAAGCCCCCCTTTTAATTCTACCTCCAAACTACTGGACCAAGAACAGAGACTGAACTGCTCTAAATTAAATGGGAAATGCACTTACACAGCGCTTTTCTACCTTAGCGGCACTCAAAGCGCTTTACAATGTGTTTCTCATTCACACATTCATACACTAATGGCGACAGAGCTGCCATGCAAGGTCCTGCCTGCCATTGGGAGCAGCTTCGGGTTCAGTGTCTTGCCCAAGGACACTTCGACTGTGGAGGGGGCGGGGGATCAAACCGCCGACCTAACAATCAGAGGACAACCCACTCTACCACCTGAGCCACAACCTGTTTCTAACTTATTTTATTTGGCAACATGTCATAGTTATGAGTGCCTCACAGTGGATTTGAATGCCTCTTTTTGTATAAAGTTACATTAGATTTAGGGCTGCATGACACTGAATAAAAGTGGCAATGCAATATTTAGTTTTTATGCGATATACAGGCATGGAAAAAATGATTAGACCAGCCTTGTTTTCTTCAATTTCTTGTCTTGACTTGTTTTTTTGCACATATTTTGTCTGATAATATGAACTTGGTCAACTCAAATTGATTTTGATTTAAATCTCATTAGGGCAGACATGGACAGATTTTTTTTTTTTACTGCTTTTTTATTTTTTTTAACAAAGACAGCAGATTAAGTCTGATTATTCATTATTTATTTGGGGTAGTTTTGATGCTTAATGTGTTAACTTTTTCTTTTCTCCCCAGCACCTGCATCGCTTCTGCTGGACTATTCAAAAGGTTGGTCACTCAAATTACTATTAAATAAAGTTATTATTAGAGTTTTTCTCAAATGTTTTAGACACACCTTTTATTAAAACAAGTATTTTCAGCAAAATATTAATATTATAGAAACACATCATCATGAATAAGTTTAACTGCAAGGCACAGAGAGACGCTGGTTTAGTTAGCCTCCATTCCCTTTGATATTAATGAGCACAGAAAGAAAGTCAAGTCAGGTCACCGAGACTTATGTAACATAATTATAGCCAATGCCTCACAGCTAGAAGCTTCCTGGTTCATGTCCCGGTGAGGACGCCTGAGGTCTTTCTGTGCATGTTCTCCCCATGCAGCGTGGGTTCTCTCCGGGTTCTCCGGCTTCCTCCCAAAAAACATGTTGAGGTTAATTGGTGATTCTAAATTGTCCGTAGGTGTGAATGTGAGTGTGCTTGGTTGTCTGTCTCTAAGTGTAGCCCTGTGATAGACTGGTGACCTGTCCAGGTGTCCCCTGCCTTCACCCTAAGTCAGCTGGGATAGACTCCAGCCCCCCTGCGACCCTAGTGAGGATTCGGCAGTGTATAGACAGATGAATATCAAAATACAACTTTACCTGACTATAATAAACATTAAGGCTAAACTCCTACTCTGTAATTAATTAGGGAGAGCAAAGTGCCTCACACTTTATATTCATATGATACTGGGAAATATGTTGATGATGATATTTTATGATATGTTTCTAGATCCAAACAACACGTGTACAGGTCAGTGTTTACTCACTATGCGGCTCCATACTGCCCCCTGCCTGCTCTGCATGTCAGGGGTGAGGCGCACCTGCTCGGTGGTTACCATGGCATCCCCCATCAGCTCCCAGTGGGAGGAGCCTAAGGATCCCACACCTGAGTACACAAGAGGTGAGGTTACCATCGTCATGACAACAGCTGACACAGCACAATGATGAACAGCTCTGCTTTGTCACTAAACAAAAGATCTAGGGGTCAGAAAAATGCAGCACCAAGAATATAATACAGTGGTATATCCATATATGTGTCTCCGCAACGGTATGGCACAGCTGAATTACACGGAGTAACAGAAGAAAGGAAACGTTTAAAGACAAATTGGGTCATCTTATCAGAGAAGCAGCTGGAGCATGAATGTGATTTTATCGCCGGATACGCTATTCTGGAAACATCTGTCCCCGCCTGCCCCTGTGCACCAGTGTTACAGTAACGGATACCTTGGTAAGGCTTGGAAAGAGAAAACTCCCGCTTCAGGAACTCCTCCATTTCGTGATCATCGTCGGCAAAACACCGGTTGACAGTAAAAATAAGAAAAGCGAAAGTCCAGTATAATTTAAAAGGCATTTTTTTCCCTGTGAAAATGAGCCTGAGCGGTGATTTGGAGTCGCTGTAATGATTGCTCCCGCTGGTGGCGGCCATGGTGGGTCAAAGCTCAACCCACTGCAGCGTCACCTTCCCTCCCATTGGTCCGCGGTGTTGCATGGCTCGTTGTTATTGGTCAGTTTGATTGTCAGTTAGAAGGGGCGCTTTTCATTGGATGTGCTGTGCGGTTGTTTTAAATAATCAACTGAGCCATATATTATGTCAATTTAATAATTCTAACGTCAGAAGTAGTAAAGATATTGTTTACAGTTTCTCTGCTCAGGTTTATAAAACATCCTTTACTTTAATATCATGAATGAAAATAAAGGACATGTCAGCAGAACAGCTGGTTTCTTACTAACTGTTAACTAACTGTTAAAACTGTTACCCTGAAATTTAGATTTGATGTTTTTCACAACAAGTTTTTTATTTTATATAAGTAATTTTATGTAATATGGCCAATCCAAATCCATACAAACTGCAGGTTCAGCAATTCTCTGATAAAATAATTTATTGCCAAATACTAATAGAATTGTGAATTGTGGTGCTACAGAAATGCCCTGGCCTACCAATCATGTACTTGAGACATAAGGCAACTTACTTTTTAGATACAGACAAAAGCAAACAAAACAAAACAAAACAAAACAAAACACATCATTACTTTCTAGAATTTTCATAGCTGAAAAGAAATGAAAAAAATTCGCCTTCCCACAATATTTGTGACTCATATTGCAATCATAGTATCTGCCAACACATGTATGAACATGTACCTACTGGTCTAACGTAACACCACTAAAGTCATGGAATAAATTGTTCAGCTTGTTAAAAAATAATTTAGCTGCTATGTTGGGAAAATGTGTCTTCTGGCCTGTAGTACTTTCATGCTCTCACCTTGAAAATTGTTATGTCTTAGTGCTGAAACTGAAAATAAAGCTGGTGCTGCAACATCATATAGTTTTTTAAAGCAATAAAGTGCAGCAACATTCACTAAACAATAATATAAACTCAGCATGCAAATGGTTTTCTTTATTGACTTTGTTAATGTAAATGGTTGGGTGTGGTTAGAAAAAGGGTTAAAATCAGTCAACTTTGCAGGTTTTGACCTGTTCAGCTGATGACGAATCCTGAACTTTTGAGTTAATCCACACACCAGTCAGGTGTGGCTTTAAAGGACAATCATCAGACAGTGTGACCAGTACTCAGACACTCCTCTGACTTTGACTCAGTGACAATAAAATGTCACCTTAAAATGCAGCACTATTCAAATGACACGATGCCACAGATGACAAGTGAAAGATGAGAACGGCCTGCTGGCATGAGGGATGCTGGGAGGTCATTTAGGGCTGCAGCCAGGAACTTCAATGTCCATGACTTCACTATTTGTCACCTAAGAAATTGTTTCAGATGGTATGAGACGACAATCTGTCACATGATGCTGTGGAAGGACATGTCCTATAACATGATCCTGTTCCCAAATGTCTATACTCAACATGTATCATAGGCTCACCACTATATCATGATCGCCTGATTCTCCTGTCATGTTGGGAAGATTATTTAAAATGTCTTTTCCACATTATGTCTCCAGCCTATTTCACAAAGTAAGACATATGAAAATAAAAATGATAGGGTAAGACTTTAGTTCTACATTAGTAAGGTTAACCTCAGAGTCAGTTGCATTTTACATAACTTTTTTGTGGGTTTTAACTCTTAGTATTTAAATGTCAATTCACACCATAAATAACATTTTCAGCTTAATATTTGAACTCGTTAGGGTATTTCACAACACCAATCTTTATACCAGAAAGCACTTTGCCACAATGTCTGTAAATTTTTCTGACATTTCAAATGCAGTGTGTTAAAACACCAAATTCATTTTCCTTTATGTTAAAAAGAATGGAGATAATTTGATAAAATATTACATGCTGCATTGATATTTTTGTTCAATGTACTTGGAAATGCAAGGAGGCAAGTATCCCATTTTTACATCCCATATGTTTTACCTTTCTGGAAGGAGGCGATGGCAAAACTTGAGGAGTGGACAAAACAGCCCTGAACAGAATTCCCTCCTTTTCCACCACAAGGTGCCGCCAAAGCACAGTTTGGATTTTTACTTGCAGGTTTCATTATTGCAGCAAGACTTGTTTTGCAAAACTAGAAAAAATGGAACTAGATTTGTCTCAATATTATTTGTATGAACAGTAAGACAATCTATGTGTAAATGTGTGATCTGTAAATATACAATTTGCACAAATACAAAGAAACTGTAAACGTTTTACAGATGTTGAGCTTTGAAACAATTTCCCACCAGTCTCAACAAAGACTTGTATCACCAAACCTTTTTCAGGACAAACATGGTCAACCGCTGACTTGTTCAAAGTCTTTGAGACGTTTTCATAAGGACATGAAGACTTGGATGGTTTATAAGATGAACATTCCATCATCTATATAAATTATACCTATGTACGGATATAAATATGTCAAATTTGAAAACTTCCTTTTACTTGTGGGTTGCGTTTGTTTTTTTAAGTTGCAAATTCAGTCTGAAACGTGATGTCAAATGGATCCACGAAGAGTTTTTCAATTCACAAATAAAAAAAGTGGATTCATGAATGCCTTTTTGAAGAGTTTTAATAGACACACTATACCTGCAGTTTATTTAGGAACACTACTGGGTTATTCCATCTTAAATCATCAGGGGCCTTCTGCCTGACAAGCTCTGATTTGTTTGAAACTTTTTTTTAAAAAAAAATCATAAACTATGGATATTTAAAATAGTGTGTACAATTTTAGACTAATATAAGGAGTATTTCCAACATACATAAAGTTTTTAATGCCTGTCAACCCACTATCCACACAGTTTAATTTTTTTAAACATTGAATATGGGACTATGTTTGGATAAAATGGCGAAAGGAACTGCAATAAATAAATTTGCTGTAAGTTCTAATCATACTATTGATTAAGAACCTCATCAGTTCAAAACGTTGGTCTACATGGATTAGGCAATCACACAATTTTTTTGTGTTTGTAACTTGTCATACCAGCTAAATCAGTTATGAATCTCGTTATTTTTGTGACCAAGTATTTAATTTAGTATTCAATTTCTTTTGTTTTGTATCACTGTGAAAACCACATGTGGTTAAGAAAACATAAGTAGTTAACAACTGCATCATGAATTTTTTTTGTTAGTGTGTTCATTTTGAAAAAAAAATTCTCTTAACCCATAATCAGAGACTACTCCATCTAGAAATATTGCATCAGTATTTTAGATTCTGAATCAATGGCACGATGTGAAATAACACTGAACATTTATTAAAAATTTAGCATAATTAGTTTCTGAGATATTGTTGTTCAAACATAGCCACAAATTTCAATGCACAAAAACAAACAAAAAACAACGTGTGGAGCTGGGCGGTTTTTAAAATAATACTATCTAAGAAAGCTTTCGATATGTCAAGCTAAAATTTCGCAAATATTTTGATAAATACCAAAATTTTATCCTATAAATTTTTCATTTAAGTCAGAGATGGTAGAGCAGAAAATTTAATTTATTGGGTGTGTTCTTCTTCTCTGTACGCTACACATTTCAGCTGCAGCACAGCGCAGGTGCTGCTGCCCCCTGCTGGCCGGCCGCAGGTCTCCGTGTTTCTGCAGCCAGTTGGATGCTGGAGTTACGGCCACGCCCCCTTCACGTTCCCGCTGCCTGTCGGCTTCCCGACACGCTCTCCGAGTCCACAGCATCGGGGGATGGAGTAAAGGAAGGACGGGAAGCATGGATCCCACTGAAGAAAAAACAGTCGACATTTATCGCGACACGTGGGTTCGCTTTTTAGGTACGTGCTGTTTAACGTGTCTGTCGTGTATCAGAGCTCTGTTCTGTCACGGAGCAGAATAGACAGGTAGACGAAACCCGTCGATACACCGGAGCTCTTTGCTAGGTGCTAGCTGGGAGTTAGCATAACTGGCTAACTCCTGTTTTAAACGTCTATTTATAGAAAAGTTGAAGGGCATTTTGTCAGCACGGGACGTAAAGGGCGTCCAAGACTGGTCAGCAGCAGTATCATGTTCATGCTTTGTTCCATTAACGTTACACAACGTTGGTGTACTGTTATCTGGTACTAGGCGTTGGACTTGTCCCTGTAGCCGAGTCCTGACTCAGTAAATGTAGTTGTTTGGCAAGTTGAGGCAGTGACTCACAACCACAAAGAAACGCCCGAAGGCAGGAGCTGACTGAGAACTGGAGCACTGGGACTGGTTTGTAGATAAACCTTAGTATCAGTGTATGAGTAAGTTTCTCGTTGGTGGTTCCCCCGATGAGCTGAGCTGTCCGGGTCTGAAGGGCATCCAGGCTGCAGCAGTGTGTGCATTAATCTGCTCCATAGCTTCAGCTGGGAAGCAGGACTCATGTAGTGTAATGTGAATCATTTCAGCCCTCCCTTAAAATCGTAATCTTTTTGCTGCTGGCTTTAATCCTGTCTGGGCAGGATTATCTCCATCTCTACACTGAGCAATGTGTAAACACAAATGTACAACAGTTTATCCTTGTTGTACTATTTGTGCTCCATGGTCTGTAAGGCATGTTTTGAAACTAGTCGTCACTGTGCCTTAGGTGTGGAGACATCATATAGAGCTGGAAATGTGGGAAGTTGTGTATTCCTGTGTGGTGGATTTCTAATCTGACTACTGCTTGAATTAACTCATTTGAGAGAAGAAAATGTTTCGTACCCTACAGAGTAGCCTACGACCAACACAGCTGAAGTTGTCACAGAAAGCATGATTTTTAGATCTGATTCTTTACCCACCCAAAATGTGGTTTAAGTTTCCCCAACGTTTATTATATCCAGATTCTCAACTCCTGTCATGGGCTGCATGGCCACATTGTGTGCGATCATCTTCACAGGCTTTACATTCACATCCTGTACGATCTGTGTTTCCGGTACATCTTGTAAATTGGATGTTGAGGCCTACGTGTAGCTCAAGTGAAACAGTCCACAGATTAAAAGTTTCTTTTCAGTTTTTACATACTGGCTTTATATTACCTAAGTTAGAAGATCTTACTAATTCTATAATTCCTATTTCTATTGTTATATGTTAGCTGATTGTATATTTCAGCAAATCTGTTATTAAATATATGTAAACATGTAGTGAAAATGGCCTGATTAGACATACACTTGATGATAATTTCTGTCATTTTTGATATATAT